TTTATCGTTAACTTTTTAGATCCTTTTCTTCAAGTTTACTTCTTTTTCAAGTTTATAGTTCTTCTCGTTTACTTTTCTTCTTTTTCTTCTTCTTTTCTTTCCTAATATTTTCTTCTTTTTCTACTATTTTCTTCGTTCCGTTTTCCCCCTTTTTTCATTTTCATCTTCCACTTTTTGTATTTTACTTATTTTTCTTGTTTATTCTTCTTCTCAGTTAATTCTTCTTTTCTTTTCCTCTTTCTTCTTCTTCTTCTTCCTTTTCTCCTCCTCCTCCTTATTCTTCTTTTCTTTCCTCAAATTTTCTTCTTTTTCTACTATTTTCTTCGTTCCGTTTTCTCACTTTTTACATTTTCTTCTTCCTCTTTTTGTATTTTTTATTTTTCTTGTTTATTACACTCCTCAGTTATTTCTTTTTCTTTTCCCCTTTTTCTTCTTCTTCTTCTTCTTCTTCTTCTTTTTTTCCTAAAATTGTCTTTTTGTATTTTCCTTATTTTTCTTGTTTATTCTTCTTCTCGTTTACTTCTTCTCTTTCTTCCTCTTTTCTTTCCTAATATTTTCTTCTTTTTTTACTATTCCCGTCTTTCCGTTTTTCTTTCATGCTTGTTCTATTTTTCTTCTTTTTCCATTTTCTTCCTCTTTTTGTATTTTACTTATTTTTGTTCTTTTTCACCTTTTCTTCGATGTCTTTTTTCTCTTCTTTCTATTTTTCTACCCTTTTTCCTCCCTACCTTTCTCTCTTTTCCTTTTCTTCCCTACCTTTCTCTCTTTTCCTCTTCTTCCCTACCTTTCTCTCTTTTCCTCTTCTTTCCTACTTTTCTCTCTTTTCCTCTTCTTCCCCACCTTTCTCTCTTTTCCTCTTCTTCCCTACCTTCCTCTCTTTTCCCCTTCTTCCCTACTTTTATCTCTTTTCCTCTTCTTCCCTACTTTCTCTCTTTTCCTCTCCTTCCCTGCCTTTCTCTCTTTTTCACTTCTTCCCTACCTTCCTCTCTTTTCCCCTTCTTCCCTACTTTTCTCTCTTTTCCTCTTCTTCCCTACTTTTCTCTCTTTTCCTCTTCTTCCCCACCTTTCTCTCTTTTCGTCTTCTTCCCTACCTTTCTCTCTTTCCTCTTCTTCCCCACCTTCCTCTCTTCTCCTCTTCTTCCCTACCTTTCTCTCTTTTCCTCTTCTTTCCTACTTTTCTCTCTTTTCCATTTCTTCCCTACCTTCCTCTCTTTTCCTCTTCTTCCCTACCTTTCTCTCTTTTCCTCTTCTTCCCTACCTTTCTCTCTTTTCCTCTTCTTTCCTACATTTCTCTCTTTTCCTCTTCTTCCCTACCTTTCTCTCTTTTCCTCTTCTTTCCTACCTTTCTCTCTTTTCCTCTCCTTCCCCACCTTTCTCTCTTTTCCTCTTCTTCCCTACCTTTCTCTCTTTTCCTCTTCTTCCCTACCTTTCTCTCTTTTCCTCTTCTTCCCTACTTTTCTCTCTTTTCCTCTTCTTCCCTGCCTTTCTCTCTTTTTCACTTCTTCCCTACCTTCCTCTCTTTTCCCCTTCTTCCCTACTTTTCTCTCTTCTCCTTTTCTTTCCTACCTTTCTCTTTCTTTTCTTCCCTACCTTTCTCTCTTTTCCTCTTCTTCCCTGCCTTTCTCTCTTTTCACTTCTTCCCTACCTTCCTCTCTTTTACCCTTCTTCCCTACTTTTATCTCTTCTCCTCTTCTTCCCTACCTTCTCTTTTCCTCTTCTTTCTACCTTTCTCTCTTTTCCTCTTCTTCCCTGCCTTTCTCTCTATTTCACTTCTTCCCTACCTTCCTCTCTTTTCCCCTTCTTCCCTACTTTTCTCTCTTCTCCTCTTCTTCCCTACCTTTCTCTCTTTTTCTCTTCTTCCCTACTTTTCTCTCTTCTCCTCTTCTTCCCTACCTTTCTTCTCTTTTCCTCTTCTTCCCTGCCTTTCTCTCTTTTCACTTCTTCCCTACCTTCCTCTTTTCCCTTCTTCCCTACTTTTCTCTCTTCTCCTCTTCTTCCCTACCTTTCTCTCTTTTCCTCTTCTTTCCTACCTTTCTCTCTTTTCCTCTTCTTCCCTGCCTTTCTCTCTTTTTCACTTCTTCCCTACCTTCCTCTATTTTCCCCTTCTTCCCTACTTTTCTCTCTTCTCCTCTTCTTCCCTACCTTTCTCTCTTTTCCTCTTCTTCCCTACCTTTCTCTCTTTTCCTCTTCTTCCCTACCTTTCTCTCTTTTCCTCTTCTTTCCTACCTTCCTCTCTTTTCCCCTTCTTCCCTACTTTTCTCTCTTTTCCTCTTCTTCCCTACCTTTCTCTCTTTTCCTCTTCTTCCCCACCTTTCTCTCTTTTCCTCTTCTTCCCTACCTTTCTCTCTTTTCCTCTTCTTCCCTACTTTTCTCTCTTTTCCTCTTCTTCCCTACCTCTCTCTCTTCTCCTCTTCTTCCCTGCCTTTCTCTCTTTTTCACTTCTTCCCTGCCTTTCTCTCTTTTTCACTTCTTCCCTACCTTTCTCTCTTTTCCTCTTCTTCCCCACCTTCCTCTCTTTTCCCCTTCTTCCCTACTTTTCTCTCTTCTCCTCTTCTTCCCTACCTTTCTCTCTTTTCCTCTTCTTCCCCACCTTCCTCTCTTTTCCCCTTCTTCCCTACTTTTCTCTCTTCTCCTCTTCTTCCCTACCTTTCTCTCTTTTCCTCTTCTTCCTCACCTTTCTCTCTTTTCCTCTTCTTCCCTACTTTTCTCTCTTTTCCTCTTCTTTCCTACCTTTCTCTCTTTTCCTCTTCTTCCTCACCTTTCTCTCTTTTCCCCTTCTTCCCTACTTTTCTCTCTTCTCCTCTTCTTCCCTACCTTTCTCTCTTTTCCTCTTCTTCCCCACCTTCCTCTCTTTTCCCCTTCTTCCCTACCTTTCTCTCTTTTCCTCTTCTTTCCTACCTTTCTCTCTTTTCCTCTTCTTCCTCACCTTTCTCTCTTTTCCTCTTCTTCCCTACTTTTCTCTCTTCTCCTCTTCTTCCCTGCCTTTCTCTCTTTTCCTCTTCTTCCTCACCTTTCTCTCTTTCCTCTTCTTCCCTACTTTTCTCTCTTTTCCTCTTCTTTCCTACCTTTCTCTCTTTTCCTCTTCTTCCCTACTTTTATCTCTTTTCCTCTTCTTCCCTGCCTTTCTCTCTTTTTCACTTCTTCCCTACCTTCCTCTCTTTTCCCCTTCTTCCCTACTTTTCTCTCTTCTCCTCTTCTTCCCTACCTTTCTCTCTTTTCCTCTTCTTCCCTACCTTTCTCTCTTTCCTCTTCTTCCCCACCTTCCTCTCTTTTCCTCTTCTTCCCTACCTTTCTCTCTTTCCTCTTCTTCCCTACTTTTCTCTCTTCTCCTCTTCTTCCCTACCTTTCTTCTCTTTTCCTCTTCTTCCCTGCCTTTCTCTCTTTTTCACTTCTTCCCTACCTTCCTCTCTTTTCCCCTTCTTCCCTACTTTTCTCTCTTCTCCTCTTCTTCCCTACCTTTTCTCTTTTCCTCTTCTTCCTCACCTTTCTCTCTTTCCCTTCTTCCCTACTTTTTCTCTTTTTCCTCTTCTTTCCTACCTTTCTCTCTTTTCCTCTTCTTCCTCCTCCTTTCTCTCTTTTCCCCTTCTTCCCTACTTTTCTCTCTTCTCCTCTTCTTCCCTACCTTTCTCTCTTTTCCTCTTCTTCCCCACCTTCCTCTCTTTTCCCCTTCTTCCCTACCTTTCTCTCTTTTCCTCTTCTTCCCTACCTTTCTCTCTTTTCCTCTTCTTCCTCACCTTTCTCTCTTTTCCTCTTCTTCCCTACTTTTCTCTCTTCTCCTCTTCTTCCCTACCTTTCTCTCTTTTCCTCTTCTTCCTCACCTTTCTCTCTTTCCTCTTCTTCCCTACTTTTCTCTCTTTTCCTCTTCTTTCCTACCTTTCTCTCTTTTCCTCTTCTTCCCTACTTTTATCTCTTTTCCTCTTCTTCCTGCCTTTCTCTCTTTTCACTTCTTCCTACCTTCCTCTCTTTTCCCCTTCTTCCCTACTTTTCTCTCTTCTCCTCTTCTTCCCTACCTTTCTCTCTTTTCCTCTTCTTCCCTACCTTTCTCTCTTTCCTCTTCTTCCCCACCTTCCTCTCTTTTCCTCTTCTTCCCTACCTTTCTCTCTTTCCTCTTCTTCCCCACCTTCCTCTCTTTTCCTCTTCTTCCCTACCTTCCTCTCTTTTCCTCTTCTTCCCTAACTTTTCTCTCTTTTCCTCTTCTTCCCTACCTTCCTCTCTTTTCCTCTTTTTCCTATCTTTCACCTCTTTTCTTCTTTGTTACCTTCCTTTACGTTTTCTTTGCTTCTTGTTTCTTCTTTTGTTCTCAAAATTTTCCCTCTTCAATTTTAAATTTGTCCTGCATTATTATTTGTTTTCTTTCTCTTAAATTATGTCCTTTTTATTTTCTTGTTGCCTATTTAACCAACTTTAATAATACCATCATCCTTATTATTATTAATATTAGAATTACTAACACTGTTATTCTTACTATTAGTATTAGCAAGAATAGCATTTGTAATATGCAGAGTTACTAAATGTGATACATTTACGCGTTAACAGCAAATGTGGCTATCACTGTGGATTCAATAAGAGCGTACCCCTTCAAATCTTGTGAATAGTCATACATTTTGTCTCCATAATGAACTGCTGAGCACGTCATTTCTCTTTCGTACGTGCAACTTTTTCGACATATTTGCCAGATTATATATGAGCGTTTACAGTGTTCGATGATTACGGCACAACCGTCGGGTTTTAAAAAAAAATATCATACTGAACTCAGGCAAGGTCTTGGTGTTAATCGCTTTTTTGTTGCTCTTTCAAGTTCAATTATATCCAAATTTGAACAGATTTTCATTCTTTTTTCGTACCGATTCAGTTTTGTCTCCTGTCCTGGAGCAGTATCTGTTTTAATTTCCTGAAATAATTTTCCTTATATTATTATTATTATCATTATTATTATTATTATTATTATTATTATTATTATTATTGTTGTTGTTGTTGTTGTTGATGTTGTTGAGGGAGAGAAAAGCATGCTGATGAGGAGCAAATATACAAAATCCACTATACACAACATTACACCCAACATTTTAAGCATATACCACGCACATGAATCACAGTCAAATGTGTGTGATATAACGTAAGGGCTTCATAAAATAGGCGTATAACTTTTCAGATGGCGCCCAGATAAAACTAGATTCAGGCATGCTATCCTGTACCTTATTAAGAGTCATATCAGGCCGAAAATTGGGTACTATGGTCATACTTTGGCAGAAACTTACCAGTCCATCCATTCCAGTCTTGACAGAGTTCAAAAGTGTCTCCTAGTCCTTTTTCAAGAAGAATTATTTTCCACTACCAATTCTCTCTCTCTCCCCCTCCCTCTCTCTCTCTCCCTCTCTCTCTCTCTCTCTCCCTCTCTCTCACACACACACAGGCGGGATGTGGCGAGTCGCTCGCGGCTCTATCGCAACTCGCATGGAAAGTGGTCGT